CACCAAATCCTGCTGTGCCACCGGGAAACCCAGCTCCGCGGCCCCCGTGGCCTGGAAAAGGCTGGCATCTCCGCCTCGAGAGGTCGGGACGAGGATTTGAACATTGGACTGTTTGATTACCTCCTGACAAATCTCAATGACCGAACGCATCAGCAGAAACTTGGCAGCTGTCATCAACTCCGGGAAGCACTCCAGTCGCACCACGATCCTGGAGGTGTAGGCGAAGTCCAAGATGTCTTTAAAAACTTTCGGGCTGATCGTGTGCATCTCCAGCTCCTTAGCGTCGCCGTCGCCCTCAGCCTGGCGGCTGAAGACCGACTCGAAATACTCACTGCACGCAGCTAACACAGCTTTGTGGGCAGGAAAGCTCTCCTCGCCGACGCGGAGGATCACATCGCAGAACCTGCCTCCATCTTTCCTCTGAACGTTGAGGTTGTGTAGCATCTCCGCACTGTGCTTGCTCACCTGGTAGGTGTACGAAGAAGTCCAAGACGGCTCCGCTACTTTCTCCATACCGAATTCATCCAATAACTATGGTTGTAATGGACAACGGTGGAGAAATGACGGAGTATGTGTTAACGATTTCGAGCACTTGATACCAGCTAGCTACAAAATCCAATACCAACCGCCCCTCCTCGTCGTTTTAGCATCTAATGTTAAACGTTAGCAGCAGCAGCAGCAGGGAAAAATGGCAGCCCCCCAGCTTCCTGTGAACTTTGACCCTGGTTTCTTGAGGGGTGGGGGTCGCTCTTGTTTTGTGAAAAATAATTCTCTGGGGTTAGACGCCCAATTTGTGTTTCTCTTTATTATCTGATTGTAGCCCACAGTTACTTGGAAGAACAGAGCTCCAGCACCGCATGGGGTCTTTTATGTCTTTATGCCAAAATGTTAACACGCAGGTCGCTTCCTGCACGGTCTGTTTGTAAAACCCCTCCCCCAACCAACCAATTTGGCCTGTCTGTGAGCGCATGTAAAGCACAATAAGTACAAGTCGCTTCAGGTAAGCGCTGACTACAGGTCGGTATAAAAGGCAGCCTACCTGTGGAATGATATATAAACTGATTAGACGCCCATGGTTGTTTACCGGTTTGGGGAGTAGGCGTAAATTAGAATTTTACACCTGTTTTTACAATATTAAACCTTACAATGGGAAGTTACTGACCAATCCCGCATAGGTGCATGATAGGGATAAATTAACAACTTTACTATAACTTAAGACCCAATTTCTGTAGGTTGTAATTGTTAAACAATTTACTAATACTTTATAGATCAGATGTAATCCATTAATAAGATCTCTTGGGTTGCCAGGTTGTGGAAAATCCTGTTCATCATTAGCTCCTCTTGCAAATGAGCCCTCTAATTCATTAGTGCAGTGGTTCACAAACAATTTTTGGTTTAATTGGTTCACAAAGTGTCATGTTGGAGGAGTTTCCATAAAGGTTTTCGGTGCCTTACAACTGGTCTATAAAACAATTTCTTAACCATCAATAAGTCAAGTTATAAACCTAGAAATGTTTTCAGAAAATCTTACTAAAACTTTAGTAAGACAGTCCATTCCACGCTGGCCTTTAAAAAGACCAGTCAAACTTTTGACAATGTCAGAAGTTTTATTCAGCTCTTACCGAGGTCATACTTAGCGCTGAACGGTTTCATGTTGCAATCTTTTTCATGTCTTTAGACCAAGAGGACAAAACATTAGAAATACCTTTCAAATCTAATACAGTCCAGAGCAGCACCACCAAAGTACAGTATGACCCTTTATATGTGCCGAGGAGTAGCAAACTGCATGCAATTAAACTAGTATTTACATTTTGCAGTGGTTTGCAGGTAGTTCAACTAAATTCATAGTTGTGTAGTGATTAAGTAGTTAAAATTCAAATTTTGCCACTTGTGTAGTTAAATAATTTTGGGCCATAAAAGGAAATTAACTTTTTTTGTTCACCATTGCTTCTCCAACCACCTTTTGGATAAAAACTTAGATTTCTCATGTCATATAATCAAGAGCTTCTGATCTGAGTCGTCGTAGCAGTAAACTAGCCCATTTAGCCCAGTGTTCAAGGTGTTGATATGGTCTAAAGGTTTAAGTTCAAGACTGAGTTAAATGTGTAGCAGGCACATGTTGCAAAACTGACAGCACAACAGGCTCATGTTTTTTTAGATGGCACAAGAGTCAGTCAGACAATGTTTACAAGAAATTAAAAAAAAAAAAAATCACTGAAAGCCCACATGGGATTGTTTTGTTTAGGACTTTGTCACAGGCAAATATACTCAGCTGATTGGCACGTTTGCTAGTGTCCGTTTCACATGTATGTTGTCAGTTTATATATATATATATATATACACACACACACTTTTTTTTTTCCTTTTTTCCCCAAAGTAGCTTGAACTTCTTTCAGTAACTTTTGTTTTTTGAAGTACATTTCTTCCTAGGGTAGCTTTACTCTAGTTTTTCTTCCAGTGTGAATAAAATAGTTTGCAATGGTACATTTTCATAGTAGTTTCCCCAACACCGTTTACAATAAACATAGCTGAAATAACACTCAACCAGTCACTGTAAACTTTGCAGGTAGAATGAAATGCAGAGCTGCTTTTTGCCTGAGATCATATAGGTTTACTGCAAAACTGGCTATTGCAGCAACTCAGCCAGGCTATAAAGATCAAGGTAGCAGTACACAAGTAATCAAATAAAAAAAAGGAACAGTTTATTGAAGATTTTATTTATTAATTCTATTTGTGCTTTTTATAACTTAATAGCACAAACTGAATCCCAACCACCCTCAAAAGGAAAAAAACAAACAAAACAAAACAAAAAATGACTGGGAGCAGTGCTGTTCCCCATAGTGACAGGTTCGATGGGAGAGAATACAGTTAAACAAAACAAAAAAAAAAAATTAAAAGGCACAATATCCCCTGCAGTTGTCTTGAAATGTTTCAGCCAGTCACTTATACATAAAGGACCACTAGCAAAGGTATACAGAAGTTTATCAATCCAAAGTTTCTCACCATTAGCAGCCCTTTCTCAGGGCAGAATTTAAGGTGGACAAGATAGAGGAACACTACCAGCTCTTTGTGGCCGTCTCAGTTTTCACTTGAACTGGAGATAGTTTCACCTTCCCAATACAAAGAAAGAAACAAAACCTATATACACAATGAGAATAAGATTATTTCCCATGGTCTGTACAATTGGGCCTATACATTATTTACTGCGCAGTCAAAAAAAAAAAAACCCACCAAAGTTTTCCATCACTCGTCAAAAGCAGTAACTTCAGGGTTGACGGCAAAGCGTGGCATGGTTAGACAAGCCAGTTCTGTGCATTCTTTGAAATTAAACTTCACACTTTTATGGTAAAAGGAGGTGGACATGTGAACATGCACACACACGCACACACACAGAGAAAAAGAAAAAAGCCATCCAGCAGTATTTATTCTCTTATGGCCGGAATTCCAATTCATCTACACTTATGACCTTGGCTGGCATGGAAGGGAGTGGCTGTTCTAGGACATCTGATCCAAACCACTTGGCGAGGCCTAGAGGAGGGCTTGCACCGTGCCGCTGGGAGTTGTTTGCCCGATGGGGCCCTTGGCTCTGTGACTGAGGGCCCGGGACACTTGGATGTACTGCAAAATGAAACAGTCTCATAAAAAAAAGTTCCCATCAATTCACTTCTAAGTTACCCTGTGTCACAAATACATTGACATAATAGCACTAACACTAGTTTTATGTTTGACAGTATATTTACTCTAGCCACTTAGAGCCATTTGCAAACCAAGTTTATATGCAAAATCTCAACTATATAGTATCTAAATCCATATATACAAAAAGAGTTGCCTCAAGCTGTGAATTTTTAGATAATCCAAAAACCAAGGAGACTTAATGCTGTTACGACCACATGCTCCAAATGAGTCATATTTGACAGCGCTTCAACTCACATGGTCTCTGTTGCTGAAGTTGATGCTGCATTACAGCCAACTGCATCTGAGTGTTGGCTCTGGGAGGTAGAAGTGGATGCCCTGTTGAACTTAGAGGGTACAGCGGTTGTCCAAGCAGAGCAGGAGGCATGCCTTGAAGTTGTGCAAGGTCAACGTGGGGCGGAAATATACCTGAGTACAATTTAAAACTTCCATTAGTTCTCAAGGTCTTAGATTTAACCTTTAATTACAAAACGTTTAATAAAAACCAAGAGCTTAATTTTTTTTAAAGACAAAATGTGGGAAGTTAAAAAAAAACACACACACACACACACACTCACCTGCTTGCACAATTGCAGGTGCCAGCTGCTGTGGCTGGATACCCTGCACCAGCATTCGCTGAACCACATTAGGGTGGAGCTGAGGAGGGGGGCGCACCATGGGTACATGGGATAGTAGCGGTACTGGATAGATGGGACGAGGGAAAGATGAGGAGGGTCCTGGAGGTAACATGGTGGGAGTGTGGTGTCCAGTGGAGCCAGTCCTGAGACGCTCCTGTTCCTTGCTTGGCAAGGACTGCGAGGCAGCCTTTACACCCCCAGAATGGCCAGCATTCCCATCCATCGTTTCCAGGTATAGATTGGGAGAGCTACGGTCTGAAATCATACAGCCTAAATCTCAACATTACAATGTTAGAGCACTTCAAATTAAGTTCAAATTCAACAAATTGTGGGTTAATGAACACACTGTACCATCTGGAGAGTGTGCTGCTGCTGCCTCCTCCTTGGTTTCTGAATGACTTGATGGTTCATCTTTGCTTTTCTCTTTTGTTGCATACATTTTGCGGATCACAGATGTGGGTGTAAATGAAGGGGACAACTGTAGTGGAGGGGAATAAATAAGCAGTAGCAATACAGATGGTGTAAAATTTTGAGGATTAGTCATGGGACATTAACATTTGTACGCACCATACTGGTGACAGGATTGCCTGGTGAGTTTCGCCCAGCAGGTTGAGGGCCTGGACCAGGGGAGCGATTAACACGCTGCGGTCTGTGGATCACAAGCCATAACTAGTGAAATGTTCAATCCAATCAAACCTTATTCACACAAGTTAATGCAATTCAAAGTGTTTCACAGACAAGAAAAGTCAGAAGAAGGGCAATTTGGTAAAAGTCTATAGATATACATATAGATATACAATATATATTAAAGCTCCCAGGCCTCTGGTAGAGGACCCGAGCTTGAAGGAAGGAAAGACCACCTCGAAGTGGTGGGGCGAGTAGGGAATGTATAGCATAAAAATAAATTGACAGTAAAAATTTTTTTAAATACAGTGGTGTGAAAAAGTATTTGCCCCCTTACTGATTTCTTATCTTTTTGCATGTTTGTCACACTGTAATGTTTCAGATCATCAAACAAATTTAAATATTAGTCAACGATAACACAAGTAAACACATCATGCAGTTTTTAAATGAAGGTTTTTATTATTAAGGGAAAACAAAATCCAAAACTACAAAGCCCTGTGTGAAGAAATGTTCGCCCCCCTGTCAAAACATAACTTAAATACTTTTTCACACCACTGTACATCAACACTAAGCAGCTCTGATCCTCAAGCAGATGGTTCCAGCGACTCTGAACATGTTAATCCTTGGTGTGGTGTATACATTTAGGATACTATGCAAATACGTTTCAAAATATTAAATGTTAAGTTCTTTAACCAAAGGTTATGAACAATTATAACACTAAGCTATATTTGACATCTTTCTAGTTGCTAAATGTAACAGCAAGTAGCTCAATAGAAACAAGTTTGGATAATATGACAATTGCAGATTAGCTAGATAACTGAAGAATTAACATTCAACTGAACAGCCACTTCACCATTAACTACAAGAATAATGTGCAGTGTTAAAAAAAAAACCAACCAACCGAATTCGAAAAGACTTGTCCTGTGGTGGCTTGTTGTAGCCAGACTGAAATGAGTGGTGTGCATGTAGAGCAAGGTCCTGTTGGAATGCCAGAGCTTCCAGGTCTGCCTGATTCACCGGCATAGAGAGAACCCTCATCTGTATGAAACGCAGGGGACAACTCAGATCTCCAGCTAGCTTAATATACATGATTCAATAATGCAAAATATTATCCATCTTTAAATAAGTATAGAGTACATATTCTTGAGACAGCTTTGTGTATTGCAAACTACTGTTAGGTGACTTGCATTTCCTGTACCTGACTAAAGACTGTCAGTCAACTCTTCAGTGCAATTTATTTTTCCTTGAGATGGATAGATCCTAAACTATTAGAAAATCAACTGGCGTAAATTTGTCATTCAAAAGATATCTGCATATGATGCAATATTTAAAACAATATTTCATTGCATCCAAACAATTAAGTTACCTGTTGCTGTGCAGCAGATGCAGGGCTGATCGACCTGCGTACATCTGAAAACTGTTCTGGTAGCATGGGTTGAGGACCAACAGGAAATCCTTGAGGTGGGAGAGTGAGAAAATAGTTAAATAAAAAAAAAATAAATAAATAAAAAAAAAAAACCTAAACTGAGGATGCGAAATACTGAGGCCAAAAAGCCCAAAGCCCCAGTATACAACTCTTTAGTTGCTTTTATGCCCTCAGAAATCATGTACTTGTTCAGTTCACAACAAATTACCACTTTCTAATCTGCCCTAGTATAACATACAGAGCTGTAATGGAGATTAGATCACAAAAATACAAAGCTTAACAGTCACAAAAACACCCTCCAGTTTGTTCATATTTACAGCTTTCCACCCTGTGGTCATCATTAAATGTACTTAAATCAATTGTCAAAAGAAAATTCACAGAACTCGTATATACCTGCTGAAGGTGGCAACCGACTGAAGTAATCTGGTGAGGGTGCCATCTGTGGAAAGAGAGGGGGTGAAGGGCCCTTGTGCAGTAGGCCATGTAGAGGTGCAGAGGCTGCTAGGCCCTCGGAGCTGCCCAATACATCAACACTAAGCAGCTCTGATCCTCAAGCAGATGGTTCCAGCGACTCTGAACATGTTAATCCTTGGTGTGGTGTATACATTTAGGATACTATGCAAATACGTTTCAAAATATTAAATGTTAAGTTCTTTAACCAAAGGTTATGAACAATTATAACACTAAGCTATATTTGACATCTTTCTAGTTGCTAAATGTAACAGCAAGTAGCTCAATAGAAACAAGTTTGGATAATATGACAATTGCAGATTAGCTAGATAACTGAAGAATTAACATTCAACTGAACAGCCACTTCACCATTAACTACAAGAATAATGTGCAGTGTTAAAAAAACCCAACCAACCGAATTCGAAAAGACTTGTCCTGTGGTGGCTTGTTGTAGCCAGACTGAAATGAGTGGTGTGCATGTAGAGCAAGGTCCTGTTGGAATGCCAGAGCTTCCAGGTCTGCCTGATTCACCGGCATAGAGAGAACCCTCATCTGTATGAAACGCAGGGGACAACTCAGATCTCCAGCTAGCTTAATATACATGATTCAATAATGCAAAATATTATCCATCTTTAAATAAGTATAGAGTACATATTCTTGAGACAGCTTTGTGTATTGCAAACTACTGTTAGGTGACTTGCATTTCCTGTACCTGACTAAAGACTGTCAGTCAACTCTTCAGTGCAATTTATTTTTCCTTGAGATGGATAGATCCTAAACTATTAGAAAATCAACTGGCGTAAATTTGTCATTCAAAAGATATCTGCATATGATGCAATATTTAAAACAATATTTCATTGCATCCAAACAATTAAGTTACCTGTTGCTGTGCAGCAGATGCAGGGCTGATCGACCTGCGTACATCTGAAAACTGTTCTGGTAGCATGGGTTGAGGACCAACAGGAAATCCTTGAGGTGGGAGAGTGAGAAAATAGTTAATTAAAAAAAAAATAAATAAATAAAAAAAAAAAACCTAAACTGAGGATGCGAAATACTGAGGCCAAAAAGCCCAAAGCCCCAGTATACGACTCTTTAGTTGCTTTTATGCCCTCAGAAATCATGTACTTGTTCAGTTCACAACAAATTACCACTTTCTAATCTGCCCTAGTATAACATACAGAGCTGTAATGGAGATTAGATCACAAAAATACAAAGCTTAACAGTCACAAAAACACCCTCCAGTTTGTTCATATTTACAGCTTTCCACCCTGTGGTCATCATTAAATGTACTTAAATCAATTGTCAAAAGAAAATTCACAGAACTCGTATATACCTGCTGAAGGTGGCAACCGACTGAAGTAATCTGGTGAGGGTGCCCTCTGTGGAAAGAGAGGGGGTGAAGGACCCTTGTGCAGTAGGCCATGTAGAGGTGCAGAGGCTGCTAGGCCCTCGGAGCTGCCCAACAGATTGTCAAATAGTGTAGGGGAACCAGTATGAGCAGGACCTCCCAAGAGCTCCTACAACAGAAATATTCCAAGAAATCCCAATTCACTTTCATGTTACTGGTCTACTGGGGGTGGCTGTGGCTCACGAGGTAGGGCAGTCTTCTTCTGACCAGCAAGTTGGTAGTTCGACTCCCGGTCTCCCCGCATGCCTAAGTGTCCCTGAGCAAGACACTGAACCGAATTGCTCCTGGTGGCTTGACTAGCGCCGTTGTGTGGCAGCCTTGTCGTCATCGGTGTGTGAATGTTGCGCTATATAAATACAGTTCATTTACCATTTACTGGTCTAGCAGATTTAAATGAAAAACTGTTGTGTTCAACCTGGGTCATAATTCACATGAGAGCTGCGTTTAGGCGGGGGCGGGGATGTTTTAAAATGGTCCAATATGTTGGACTCAAAGAGGGTCAGGGGGAGTGGCAGCAGTATGACTGTGCCACAGATCAATGAGCAGCTGCTGATGAAAAGAATTTTCTCCTGCTCTTAGGTTTGCACTCTCCATCAGCAACACCAAAGAATTTTTACCTGGTGATAATTCTGATGCACCACCTGATCACAATCCAGACTTGTAGTGCCACAGGGCCCTTTTCAGACTCAATTAAAACAGGATGTAATTTACACCCAGGCCTGACTCTTAATACAAACAGTGACAACTTCTAGCCTATATTAAATATCACCAGCATTTGCCTGATGGTCAACATACTCACCTGGAATATGTTTTTCTGCTGCTGAGCAGGCATCTGCACTTCAGACAGTGTCCCCACAGCTGGGTCTGAAGGTTGCTGCAGTGCACATGGAGAAAATTATTTGTGGTGTGTGCAGTGCAACCAAAGGTGTGTTCACATAAAGACCCATCTCAGTAAGCATTTTGCAGTGTAGGGCTTGTGAAATTCATGAACATAGCATGTGGAAACTGTCTTTCAAATCTTAACACCATGTAAAATACTTCGTGCAACACTGCAAGTCCATTGAAAGGGGTCTGTACATGTGAATTCCAAACAAAGTGTCCCTCATGCAAGTCAGTTATGCTTTTGGATTAAAATTGACCACAATTTTCCTTAAAGAGCATCTTTCCATTGACAGAGTTGAGATGGTTCTAGCTTCAGTAAAAACCAGAGCACCAATTCAGACATGGACTTGCATAGAAAGGACACTTGTAACTTTCATACCCCAAACATTCAAAAATAACTTCAGACAACTAAGAAGCAAATTTATGCCCATCACTTTGTAGTCCACAAACCTTTTCAAAATAGCGGGATCTAGGCTAAGGTTCAAGTTGCATGCAGCATTCAGACACCACACAGGGACAGATTTGTTTCAGAAGTTACCTGTTCCATTTCAACATGCACAATATCCACTGCAAGCCTGGGGCTACATTAATAAAACATATATATAGAGATAAAATACTTACATTGTTTGTGTTGGTTTTGGGGTGAGTTGGCAAAGTTCCACTTGCCTTCATGCTGCTGACCAATTTATTAAAGGCCGACATGTCTGTGTCACGCGAGCGTGGACGGGCATTGGAGCCACCAGTTAAAGCCTCCTCTAGATGCTCAGCCATGAAGGGTGTGCCACTTCCCCTCTGTGGCGGAAGAACCTTTTGCACCTGTGGTTCTGATCCCAGCTTCATTCCCTTCATCTCTCCCTCCACCTCCTCCAGTGATAGCACCACTCCAGAGTTAGCTGGGGACAGATAATTCAACTTTATGCAGCTGTTCAAAATATTACTTTGCTTTACAAGTAAAATAAATGACAAATAAAACCATTACAATTGGGAAAACTGTGCAATAAACCTGTTAAGAGATTTTAATAGGACACCGGTGGGAATTCTGAGCGTCAATGCCTCAACAGCAAAGGTTTAGTCACCCTTAGTGTGTGTTCAGACAAAAGGGCTTGCACCAGCTTGCAGTTTCTTAATACAGGGGAGATGAATAAAAAGCTGAGTCAGGCTCAACTCTACTGCGTCCCAACACAGAATGAGTGTGCCTTTTTTATTCAGTGCAAATGCTAGTCAGAACATAGAACTTAGTATCAAGTAGTAGTGTAAGGGATTGTAGTCGATATGTGACCTGTATGGATATCATGGTATAACTCTGCAGCGCAAACATTTCTGTGAACTGGCACTCACTGCTTTCCCGTAGCCGAGCTTTGTTGACTGACAGGGTGGAAAGAAGGGGCTTCAGGTCTATTTTGGCCTTGTGCAGCAGCTCCAGGATGTCCACCTTCTCTTTGCACTCAGATGACTGAATGGGTGTAAAGTATGGGGCAGGGCCACGGCTAGGGGACGTGCAGCGTGGTTCAAGCCCTTTAGAAGAGCAAAACAATATTTTTATGACATACAACAAGGCAAGCTAATGCTGTGGAAGCATGAACCTTACAAAACAAGAATGTAAATGACTAGCAGTTGCATACAGTAGTATTGAGGGTGACAGAATTAAGCAAGAGATTTGACCAAGTTTAAACTCCAAGATGATTTTAATGCCACCCCCACAGACTGAGGTATAGTCAAGACTGACTATCTAGTTAAAGAAATTTAGAAAAGTGCAACAGGACCAGAGGGAAAAACAGATCCAGAGGCTTGTCAGTGACATACTGTAGATCTACAGAGACATCTGAATAACCTCAAGACCCACTCAAATCTTAAAACACTTTTAAATAAAAGTGCATTCCAATACAGAGCTTCAGTAGTGCTTTGGTTGGTTTTAAGCAAGATCATCATCAACGCTCTTTCAGAGAAAGGGAGGGAAAGCCAAGGAAATCAAATCCTTTACCTGCTAGTTTTTCTAGCTCTTCATGAGGAGTGGACCTCAGACTACTCGACCGGCTACCTGAGGGGCTCAAGTTACTGGAGAACCACTGACTGAAGCGGCTAGCCAATGCAGGGCCTTCCCCCAAGACGTCCTCTATCATCTACGAGACAAAGTTGCTTGTGAGTGTGTGGAAAAGACAAATATTCAGCAGACCGAACAGTGTGAGGGCAAAGGGGCACTTACGTTTAGAGCACTCTCCATCGATTTAGCACAAAATGTGCTGGAAGACTGAGGGCAGTGTCACTGAATGCATTGCCGTTTGGCCTCGTGTTGTGTCAGTACACAACTTTCTCATTCAGGTTGCAGCCATGTTCACTTAATCCAATTGGCAACAAGTCTAATGTAGCTATAATGATGGGCATAAATTTGGATTTCTGATAGCTTTTTAAACCTCTAACCCTAAATGAGCACACTGACAAAAATGTCTAGAAAGAGCACCACTCAGTGACTACACCCACCCACCAGAGCCAGTTCAGTGAGATCAGTCAAGTGCAGGAAGGTAATCTCATTCTGACAGCATATTCTGCAGACTCAATGGTTGGATTCAAAAAGGTTTGAACAGATCATATACAATTTCAATGTCAGGGCAAATCTCTGCCATGACGTTAATCTGGCCTCCCAGACAATTTTAATGATTTTATACACCTCAACTGTTTAGATTATACCATTTAGTTTACAGCATAAAGGAAAGGAGGTGAATCACTGACAAAAGGTTTTAGGAGTTACAAATGAAAGCCCATCTGTGACAGTCACACCTTTAACCCACACAAAACCACAAAGTGCACCCCAGTACTTACAGAAGCCAGTCCTGGCATGGTTTTCTCCAGATTGAAGAACTCATTGAAGTCAAAGTCTCCAGTTGACTGCTCTGGCAGAACATCAGGGTGGGGAACCTCCTGATCTGCTGTGGACTGCAAACCCACATCTGGCTCTTCAGCCTGACCTCCATTACATTCCACTGGTGCACATGATAAATACAAATCAAAATCTTATGTTTGATGCGACCGCAATTATGCTAAACTACTTATCCAAATAATACCATGCAGTTAAAACTACAAATTAGCTAAAATGTATTATGTTGCTGTCATTCTGAAAATTTGACATGCCTTCTTTCACAGAGTCTGTCCGCTTCCTTGATCGCTTGGACTTGCGCTTATCTTCCAGGATTTTGTCATCAAATCCAGTGAGCTCAATTGTTTCAGACTGACTTGTGGGACCCCCAGAGAACCATTCTGGTTCCTCCTCTGCATAAGAGTCATTCCTTCTCCTTTCACTAAACACACGTTTGTCACCAAAATCTCTCTGCAAATGATGACAATGCAAACATTACTGCATTTGTATGATGAGCAAAAAGACCTTCACATAATGCAAAAAATCTGAATGAATGGAGCTATTCTTGAGGTCAATTCTTTGTACGGAGTAGCCATATTGATGAAACAGTGTGTAGTCCAAGCAGCACCTCTTGTCATTTTACTTAGATGTTCAAAGTCAGTGTTGCTTAATGCAAATGAACAAGCCAAAATCCAATTTTTCTAAAAAATGGTTTTAAAGTGTAAATAAGTTAAACAGGAATGTGGGTCTCACTTTCAAAAAAATACTCCTGTAGAACAAACTGATCTAAACACTAATGGAAATGCATAACACATGAACTGAAAACAAAAAAAACAAACAAAAAAAAAAAAAACACCAACCCTGAATCTTTTATCTTTAAAGTCTCTCTCACGTTCCCTCTCTTTTTCTGCACGGGCTTCTCTCTCAAACGTTCGGGCAGAAATTATACGTCCACTGCCTATTCTGCGTGTCCCCCCCAGACGAAGACTCTCATTCTCCTTATTTTCCAGGGGGCTGATTGGGCGACGGGCATGGGGTACAGGTGCAATGTTGACTTGACATCCACCACCAAAGCTGCGTCGCTGTGGGCTCAATACGACATCCAGATCATCCTCCTTTAACCGCTCACGAGGATCTGAATACAATAAAGCAAACAGGCTGAGTTTTAGATGTTGAGTCCACAGACTACACCTGGAGTCACATTATCCAAGCCAACAATCCAGTACAAGACTAGTTTAAAAGAAACTAATTTATTTCACTTCTATATTTTTTCCTTTAAAAATGTTTGGCAAGTTATAATCCAGAGCTACTGCATGTTCAGTTATGAGAATTACAATTACAGAAACAAACATCTTATCACAGGATAAGTTCGAATCTGGCTTTGGCTTCTATAAAACAGTCCTACCTGGGATTCTTCGTTTCAAAGGAACTCTATCAACATAGTCCTTCTTAAAACCTTCCACTGGAGAGCTACGCTCTGAAGTAGGATACAGTGAGGCATGCCACTTCTCAGGGTCCCAGACACCATCACTGTATAAAAAAAAACACACCACACTTGAAGCCACATTTAAGGATAACAGAGCTTGCAAAAAAACATAGTTCATTAAAATAACTTCTTAAATTTATTTCTTCTGACCATTAGAAAAAAAAACAAAAACAAACATTTACTAAATGTAAGCATGACCAACAGTTTTAAAAAGTAACTGCAACCGCTGACAATCATTGTCTGAGCAAGAAAAAAAAAAAATCTATTTGTCTTTATACCAGCTAAACTGTGCTCTCACTTCTATACTTGTCATCCATCTACAACAGAGTTGAGATCTCTGCCCAAACATGCCCACCAGGACAATAGGTGTGTCCACAAGTGAGGGTTCAAACACAGGCGATGACCGATACTGGGCTACAACGACCCAGTCGTCAGGGGACATTGTTGGGCATCAAAGGACTGAAACACCACCGATGGGGATAAATATCTCCGACAACGCCAGTCGGGCAGAACTGATTAAGTCTCTTGGATGAGAGGTGAAACGTCTTTGACCTAAAAGCCTAGTCCAGTTGATTTTTCTGTTGTTTTTTTTATATTTAACATTTTTGCTAAAATGTTTGAAATTACATTTTCTCTTTGGTTATTGAGTGTATATTGACAGGGGGGAAATGGCAATTTTTCCAATGAATAAATCTACAATACTGTGTGCAAAAATTGCAAGGTGTGAACACTTCCTGAAGAAACTGTACAGGCTCCCCTATGACCACAAGCTTGCTTGGGATTTCAAAACAGCTCATATTTGAAGCTTAGAATGTAATTTGTCAGCAGCTGCAGCCTTTTTCTGATACAATTCATCCCTCAAATCTGAATGCAACCCATAAAGACTGTCTTTTTTAAAAAAAAGGGGGAAATGTTAAGCTTTTTCATTCCTACTAGCTCACTTGACAATGACCAAACAAGTTAAGCCAATTAGTCAAAATGTAGCAAAAACCTGGCATCCATTTTTCCAATGAAACAATCCAGGCCCTGTCCCACATTACATTCTTCATATGTTATGGTGTAGATCTTTTTTACAACTAAAGAATAAATTCTTACCTGTCATATTTCTCAGAGAGACATTCTGGTCTTTCATTGGAAACTGGAAGTTCTTTTATGTCCAGAAGTTCATCCTGTAGAATAATAATTGTTAAAAGTTAAGTAACTGTAGAAAGCCACTATGCAGCCTTATAATTAGTATTTTTCATCACCTTGGTGTATCGATAGGGAGCTGTGGCTGCTGACTGTGGCTTAACTTTGTCAACAGCAGCATCACTGTTCTTCCGCGCTACACAAGTCTCCATGATTGATTTTCAAACACAGAACAGTTTCTACCCCAACAATGGCTCTGAAACAAAGTTTAAAAGTTATTCAAATTACTTCAACACAGTGTAATTCGTAGTGTTATGCAGGGTCTACAAAAACATATTTTATAATTACTTTTTGCATGGAAAGACAAGCCACTTGAAAAGAAACCCGGCCTTAAACACACACAAATAGCACCGTCAAAAGTATGAGTAAAAAAAAAACTTAACTTAGTCACGTTAACTTTCATAAGGACAGCTCCAGCAAACGCCGTTAACCAATTAGCAAGTTAATTGACAACATCCATGGATCGCTGACAGATGTAACATGTCAATTATAATTAACGTTACTTCGCTTTAGCGTTAATTGACTAATTACCTGTGGCGTCTGAACTATGAAATAAACCGAAATGTCTTCAGCAAGTAACGCCAACTCTGACGATGTTCAACCAATATTCGCTCACATGAATAATTTCTTTACCGTTACTAAGGCTCAGCAGAATATGTTAGCCATTAACCTTAGCCAAGAGATACTTGGGGGTTAGCTAGGCTAACGCTACACACGACTCCATCTAAACCCCAATTCATAGTTTAACTAAAATTTGTACAGACGAAAAACAAAAGCGACCAACTTACTCGGTATGAATGCTGCGTGGAATGCTGGTTGTTAACGACCCAGCAGCGGCAGTTCACGTTAGCTAGCTATCCTAGCACTTTAGCTAGCTAGCTAGCTAACTAGATAGCTGGGGGAATAGGGCTAATGCCCACCCAGCGAGTATCAAATCTTAAACCGGTAGAGTTGTTGCAGTGATTTCAGCAAGCGCACACTACATTGGGGACACTTAACACAAAACACAAGTCTAATTAACTAAATAATTCACTCAGAGACAGTGCAATCTTAAATAAAGGTCTGCTCTTTCTCTGTTTCTAAGTCGTAGCAACAATTTTCCTCTGATCGCCGCTTTAAGAAGGTCCTTGGAAAGATGACATTGTGCCCATCGCGCCTTTGTAGAATTTTCAAACCACGTCTGCGTCTGCCGTGTTGCATTTTAATATTTAACCCATAATAAGAATTAGTAGTAAGGCAATTGTGCGCGACTATATAAACAGTGGCCAAATACAACGGGCTTGGTAGTGGTATAAATTATAATAACTTTAGAACACTCGACAGGCATTATTTGGGGGGACCTAGAGATGTGTTGGGGTTTGTTCGATTTATGCCTCCCTCATTTCGTTTCCTCTGCGCTACTGTAAAAATATGAAATCCCGCCCTCACGGGCTGCCCAGAATGACAATGTGCGTAGCCATTACTCTGAAAGGACCGTTTTTGCGTTTTTGACTGTCAGGAATCTTCACCGCACAGTGAAAGTAAACTTGTTACAATTTAAGCTCTTGTAAAGAGAAAGGTCTCATAACCGCTGCCTTATTAGTAGCCTGAAAATATTATTAAACAATGTAAAAATTCCAGAGAGACACGTATAATGTGCAAAAAATTAACTTAGTGCAGTGTGTGTACTGTGCAGCACGTACGTACAGCTTGTTGCCGTTGACAACTAGCTCCCGAAACAGGCCCCCGGTCTGACGCCCGCGTTTACGTGACAAGGAAAAACAAATGCGCGGCAGTTGGTTAACATGAACGTATTCATCTTGGTGAATGATGTTAATTTGGGACCTTAAAGGCGTAAGATTTTGTTGTTTTTATTTCAGAACCTATATTGATGCTACACTTTTGCAACATATACACGTGGCGTGATTTAACATAATGTATAGTAACCCTAGAAAGCCAGATCTAGCAGCGTTACGACCCAGAATATTTAGTGTCAGATCTACTGGTGACTCAAAACACGTCCGTAAAGTTCATACCCGAAAGGTTCCTTACAGAGTTGGTTACAACTGGAACAAAGGTGGAAGACTCAAGGAGCTGAGAATAAGGTCCTGAGCCAAATAGTTTGATGTATTTCCACTCGGTAAATGCTTTTTATAATTAACAACCTACCATTTGCAATGACCGCAGGCACTTGGCAAGAAAGTTCTTGAAGATATGGATGCAGAATACCTTTGGCCGAATTATTCCTCACAAAGCCAAGTAATATGTTTCACTTATTTTACAAAGCGGAGATGTTGGCGTGAAATATGCATAAATCGCATCATTTTGTTAAGGATAGATCACCATCTGTTTGCCACATTCACATGTCCTTCCTGAGCCCGAGTTTTCTAATGTAAGGGAATATTGCATGATGCAGGTCTCACCATAACAGTGTGGTCCTGAGACGAGCCTTTGAAGGATGGAGAGAAGAGTGGTGGACATCCAGGAGGGAATGGAGTCTTACACTGAGGGCAGAGTGTCACTACAGGTCAGGAGTTCATGCAAGACTTTGAGGGGAACTTTTGCTCAAGTACCGTACTTAAGTACAATACTGAGGTATTTATACTTCAGAGGTATTTATACTCAATACAGAGTTAAATATTTGCACTTTTTACTACATTTATTTGAGATGTGGAGTTACTAGGTACTGTTTAGATGGAATGTTTAAAAGATTAAATCAGTGGCTCCCAATCATTGACATTTACAAGAAAAGCTGTGTCTAGGGGGACCCTTAGTGCTCCAAACAGTTCATATGTTTTTGTTTAACTAACTGTTCATATAATCAAGTAGGTCACCCAAAAGTATTGAAGTAATAATTGAGAAAAGTAAAAAAAAAAAAAAAGAAAACAGATTTGCGTAACAGAGCTTTGATTTTTCTTCTTTTCTTTCTCAATCATTTCATGACTCATGATCCTACATGCTACTTATGTATTCTGCATTTCAGGTATTACCTGTACACCTTGGTATTCCATAGCTGGCAAACATTTATGTCACTGGAAAGAGAAAAGAAGAGCAAAGTGCAAAAGGCTCAAATATTTGGTATGATTTTATAAATAAGAGCATATCTAACCTTATATATATATATTCATGCTTTGTCAGATATCATATAAAACTGATGTGTTAGTAATCACTTTGCTCTTTTAACCAGCTGACAGGCAACGAATGCGTCTTGTTTGGGATAGCTGGGAGGTTTTCACAGAGATGAGGCGAATGAAAAACAGAATGCTTGAGTCAGCTCTTGAACAGAAGAGACTCACAACTATGTGGTAAGTTTACTGTATTTTAAAAGTAGACTTAGACTCAGTGTTCATTGGTTTCACCTCTGTTGTGTGTGTGTGTGTGTTTTGTTGTTGTTTTGTTTTGTTTTTTTACCTGTGCAGTTCTGCATGGACCTTGTGGCAGACTAGGCTGCAGCAGTGCCATGACCTTCACACTTTGGAGGACCAAGCCCTGAAACAGCATGCACTGACTTTACAGAGAAGGGTAAAGATAATAACCAACTCACTTATAAGTCATGTATTTTCATCATTATGTGCCTCCATGTAAAACTAATCCCTGTAATATTATCTTGTGTATTATCTGTGATGCGTGCCCCACTACTTCTTTTTATAAAGGCTTGGCTTCACTGGAAAGAAATGCACACAACTGCCTGTCACCAGAAAAAGGCACAGTCCAAGGCTTTGCTTCACTTCATACTCAGACTGAAAAGAAAAACATTGTATCAGTGGATGAGTTATGTGTCCAGTCGCCAAAACAAAAAAAAGTCAGAAGGTAACTCATGTATATTGTACTACTTGATCACATTTTTAAGTGCAGTTATTCATGTTTATTTTACTATTCCCTTTCTGATTATCTTAGCTGTGGCTCAGCGTGCCGGTTCTCGCCGCCTGGTGAGGATGTGTTGGAATAGATGGATCAATGCGTTGCACCACAGATGGAGTGAGGAAGACTGTTTGCGAGCTGCAGGGTATTTAGCCATACAGAGCACCAAACGCAGAGCACTGGAGCAATGGAGAGCTTGTATCCTAATCAATACATAAAAGTAACATACCTTTCATTTTCATCATAATAAATGCTTAGAATCATCAGTTTGCTTGTTTGATTCTTGAGCTCATCAGTAGATGTGACACTGTCCAGACAAGAAGCTGAAAGAAACCAGATGGCGAGTCAGCATTACCATCATCACTTAATGGTACAAGAATAAAAGATGGTGGAACTACAAATAAGTACAGAGTACGATAGTTTTATGTGTTGATCACTGCAGGGGTTTTTTTGCAGAGTGCTGGATTGCAGGGACTTTCTCTCAACGTCATCTGGAACAAAACACACCGACTGAACAACAACATGGCCATTCAGCATCATCATCAAACGGTAAGTGATGAGCACTTAACATTGTATGCCAAGCACTTCAAATAAAGTTTCAATTGAAGGTTGCAGTTTTGTTTGTGTTTTTTAAAGATGATGAGTAAGTATTGGAAGCTGTGGCAGGATCGTCTGGAGGAAGCTGAAGACAAGAGTTTTCAGCCATTAACAGAGATGGCTCAGAGAAACTACAGGTGCTTTTATTTACTTTTCTATTCTCCTGGCATTACCTACATTTGCCCAGGAGTACAGAGTATATTAAATAGTATACAGAGTTGCATCTACACATTCAGGTGTGCCACATTTAGTTTTGTTAATCCTGTATGCTTAATTTGTAGTTCATTGTGATCTCAAGTGTTTGTTCTCCTGGCAGCATGTCCCTCTTGAGTAGCAGTTTTCACTACTGGAAAGAGAAACTTGCTGAACAGAGACACATGCAGGTATTTGTAGAAGCACAACGTTTTCATTACATACATTTCTATAAATTATAGACAATTATCTGCCAAGAAAGAGTAAACAATATGTCATTGCATTGAGTTATTCCCCCTAATGTAGCCTTAAATACGCCAATGACTAATATTTTTTTGAGCTAGAAAAAAAAAATGTTATTATATTTTAAAGCTTAGTACACTTATCGGTGAATCAATCAACAGAAGAATAATCCAAAACTATTTTGATAACCAAGCCAAAAAAAATTTGCTGCAACCAGCTTCTTAATTGTTTTATCATTATCATTCCAAATGCACTATCATTGGATTCTGGTTTAGTTGGACAAAACAGTCAATTTAGGAATGTCACTTTGCCTGCTATAGAACTTATAACTGTCATTTTTCAATAATTTCTGTTATTTTATTGAAAAAATGATTCGAGTAATTGACAAAATAACCAGCACATTAATAAATAATGAAAATAATCATTACTTGCAGCTCCACCTCATTTTCAACATGATACCAGAGTTAATCATTTCATTTATGTTTTTAATACTTGATGCCCAAATATAGGTGAATACAGGTATTGATATTTGTGATACTAATACATATATATACTATAGTAGTATAATATAGTACCATTCCTTTCTTCAGGAACTGGAACATCGTGCAGTTGTTTGGTTTGCAGAGCACACGGTGCCTCGGTATTTCAACTCGTGGGTTGAGTTCACTCTGCAGAGAAGACTCCATAAACACTGGAGACACACGGCAGAAGTCTATAATCAGTGAGTTATGTCCTTTTCTAAGGACTTATACTTGTGTTGTAATTCATTTCCAAACCAAGCAGAGTTGACTGATCTCTTGTCACTATAGAACATGATTTATTTGTTCCTTGTGTTATCAGGCAGCGCCAGTACGCCTGGGTGTTTTACACCTGGTGGGGACAGTCAGAGAAACACAAGGAGCAGATGCTTTCTGAGCGGATGGTACGTCAGCAGGAGATGGAAACTATATTGTTGATTATGAACACAGCTGTGTATCAGACACTGAGAGATAATGCATCGTTTTCAGGCAATTCTTCATGCGGAACGATGCTGCATGCAGAGAGCCTGGGCTCACTGGAGCCAAAGGACAGAGCAGCAGATCAGTGAGGCGGAGAAACAGAAAGCCTCCGACCATCTGTACCTGCACCGACTTCTCCACAAGACGATGACGCAGTGGAAGGACTACAGTGCTGAGATTCGAGACAGGTGAAGCAAACTTTGCACTGCTGGAATGACTGTTTAGTCTGACAAGAGGATGAGAGCTGTGAGCTTACAGATGTGTTTGTCTATTTGTTTGCATGTCAGGAGAAGCCGAGAACAGCAGGCCTGTCATCAGGGTGACCTGCGCTCCATGAAATGGGCTGTGGAGAAATGGAAAAAGGTGCTTTCTGTAGTCCTGTCCCATCTGTGCACCATCTGTTCATACACTATAAGGCATCAGTGCTCTTGGTTAAATTAAAAAATAGAAACCGAGCTGTTTAAATCTGGAAACTCTGCTCTCTGGGAGCCTAAATGAGACCAGAGCTCTATGCTGTCAGCATGTAAGCTGCTGGCTCTGTCCATCAAACGCTGCTCTCTTCTTTCGGTTAATTGATTCAGTTTTACAAGCTTGTCTTGTTCATTGAACCAAAAAATCAGGCCTTATTATGGTGGTTAAGAAAAAGATCAAATTTTCACGTTTTGAGAAGCTAGAACCATCAAATATTTGTCATTTTTCTTTAAAAAAAATATTGACAGGATTAATAGATTATAACTATAATTACTGCATCACGGTTGTATGCCTCCTCCAACCAATTCACAGGTATGGGACAGAAGTAAGGTCACTGACTTTGACCTTTAACCACCAATATCTAATCAGTTCATGTTTGAGTCCAAGTGGGCACTTGTGCCAAATTCCCTCAAGGCATACCCGAGATATTGCATTCACAAGAATGGCCTGTAGGCAAGGACGGACAGACAATCTGTAAACATGATGCCTCTGGCTGCAGCTGTTGCCAGCAGAGGAATAAAAATGTGTTGATAAATCTTCTGTCGATCAGTGAATTAACTAATAGTTGCAGATGTGCAGTCCCACAGATACCAACACAAATCTACAAGTGTGATGCAGACTTATTTGTGCCAGGTGTTTTTATTAGTGACTTTTGTGTGTTTGAGCAGTTTGTTCAGAGCCAGAGAGTGAAGAAAAGCAAGCTGGAACAGATGCAGCGTTACCATGAAGTTAAACTTGTTAAAAACGCCGTTGTAGCCTGGAAGGTACATATATACATGAGTATCAGTTACAGGCAATGTAATCACTTGATGGCAGTGATGAAGATAATAGGACATCTGATATACTATGTGCTGCTGTATTCACAGACACACCACCTCCAGATGTCTCACATCTACAGACATGCAGAGCAACTTCACAGACAGCAAAAACAGCGCTTTGTCAGGTCTTAAACAAACACGTACAGCATATATACTGTATATTCTCCAAGTTTCAGTGGTGTATGTCAGCATCCTCTGTCTCAGTGTCAGTAACATCCCTCTCCAGGACGGCTCTGTCAGTGTGGAGGGAGAACGCAGTGCTGCTGGCAGAGGAGCAACAAGCACAGAATCACTTTCAGCACGTCCTTCAGCTAAAGGTTATAAAGCAGTCTGGTGCCTTCATCCACAAAACTATTGCAGTTATTCCTTTTTTCTGTGTCTTTGTTCATTTCTCTCATTGCATTAATTCTTTGAAGGTGTTTCTTGCCTGGAGGGAAGCAACAACACGTGCAGTGTCAAACCGTCACCAGCAGAATGAGGCAGTCAGCAGAGTTCAGAGGGCCAGAAATCAAGGTAACAGCACAGCTCCTTACAGTGACCACACGGTTTCAGCTCCATTTCCATATAGATTTTCTGAAAATAATTGTATTTATGTACAGCCCCTAACAGAAATAGCAAATTTACATATAGTTTAATTGTAAAGTAAAAGAAACCGCCATGCTTTCTCTGCAGGGATTTTAATTGTTTTGCACCTTTGCATATAACAAGGCCTCAGCGGTGGAAGAAGTATTCACATTCTTTACTTATAAGTAACAGTACCATAGTGTAAAAATACTCTGTTACAAGTAAAAGTCCTGCATTCAAAATGCTACTTGAGTAGAAGTACAAAGGTATTGCCATCAAAATATACTTAAAGTACTCATTATATACAAAAAGTAGTCATTATGCAGAATAGCACAGTTCACAATAACATGTATTGAATGATTTTATTATAATTATTGCAGAGAGTGAAAGCAAATTAAGTTTGAAACTTTGTAAATTTCAACTATTAAGTTTTTATATTTGCCTGGACTGCTTCTAAAATGTTTATCTGTGTTCAGCACAGTTACTGCAGTTTTTCACACAGTGGAGGAAACAGACCAGAGATGCTCAGAGGGAGAGGATTTGTGTGGAAAAGACCAGACAGCACCATAACTCCAGGCTCCTCTCTAAAGCACTGAAAGCTTGGAATAGGCATCACTACCAAACCCGGAAATATAAGGTTTGTACTTCACCATCCCTTTACAGTTACATAAAGCCACATGCTGTGACATACATTCTTTAAACTGTGATGTTTCATAGATGATGAAACGACAAGGACTCTTGCTGCTGAAATTAAAGATGTACCAGACCTACTTTGAAGCATGGAAAATGAAGGTTTGTTAATATCACATGGCTAAAGAGGCACTCAGCTGATCTTACATATAAAGATCTGTTTACTTACCAGCGTCTCACTCACTCAACCAGTGCAAACAGTTCTGTCGATATGGAGGAACTTTGTAAAGATAGGGGAAAAAAGTCTTTATTTTGTGTTAGAGCTTCACCTGTTTTATAAATGAATAAAAGAATTAGAAGGTGTAGATATCAAGATTAAACTCACAGGCCAGTATGTGTGTTTTGATTTAGTGCAGTTAAACTGGTTTACTTCCAGCTGCAGCACAGACGGAGAGAAGCTAAGCAGACGGAACAAGCGCTCTGGCACTGGTCCCTCAGTCTTCAGGCCAAGGTAACACATTATTCTCCCAGGGCCTCACTACAGAACTGAGCACAGAATTGCACAGTCGGTGCTCACAGGGTTTGATGTGTCTTGATGTTTCTTGGTGAACTCGCTGCAGGTGTTGAATGGATGGAAGCTGTGGGTCACAGAGCAGCACAAGAAGCAGGAGCAGGCAGCCAGAGCTGCACAGGTCTACAGAGACCAGCTGCTGAGGGAGGGTGTGACATGCATCCTCACATATGCTGCTCACATGAATGAACTTACACAAAGCTTCACGCAACACAGCCAAGAGCAAGTGGGTATTTGTGTGTGTGTTTAGTTTTATGTCATTTCAATCATGACCTCAATTATTTTGTCAAGCCTGGCTGTGTCCTGCAGAGATCACTTCACCTCCAGAGGGTAGTTAAACGCTGTGCTATGCGGTGGAAGCAGCGGGCGCTGTGTAACACACAACAGGTTAAAGGGAAACCAGCAAAAAAGAGTGTGACCTTCTGTTTGACTACACCTGGAATGACGAGCGTTTCCTCATCTGACCCAATGGAACAGGGAGCTGAGGATGGAGTGCTTTGCATGCCGTGAGTCTGTAACCTTGACTGGCTGTAGAAATGAGTCATACTGACTCAGTCTTACAGAGTTTCTTTGTTTTTCTTTTTTTTGCAGGTTTCCTACCCGTATGCCTCGACGTCAGCCACGCCGCTGTGGGGGACTGTTTCACTCTAAACTGGCCGACTTGCCACACACAGGGTAAAGCATTTGTGAATGAAGTAACAGGATATTTTTTATTTTTGATTGTAGATAATAAACACAGACAACATTATTTGTATGTTTGTATTTACATGTACACTGATCAGCTATAACATTATGACCACTGACAGGTGAGGTGAATAACACTGATTATCTTGTTAAAATGGCACCTGTTAGTGTGTGGCGTGCATTATCCAGCAAGTGAACATTCAGTCCTCAAAGCTGTTGTATTAGAAGCAGGAAAAACAGGCAAGCATAAGGATCTGAGTGGATTTGACAAGGGCCAAATTGTGACAGGGAGAAAACATGGTTAAAGCATCTCCCACACTGCAGGTCTTGTTGGGTGTTCTCGGTCTGCAGGGGTTAGAACCTACCAAAAGTGTCTAAGGAAGGACAAACAAACAAACTGGCGACAGGATCATGGATGCCTACAGCTCACTGATGATGAGGTTGATCTACTGTGTACTGATCTTTCAGATTTCATTCATCCTTTTCAAAAGATTGCAGTTAGTTTGAACCTTTTTAAAATGATGAAAATGAGAAATACTGTACATTGGTCTCTCTGAAGAGAAACATTCAGCGGCTATAGTGGTGATATCACACCAAGAGTAGGGAGGCTGTTGAATGTGTCTAAAAAATTCTCTCTCACTTGTCCTCACGACCACAGTTTTCACTCTTTTCATATAAGCTTTTCACTGCATGGTAGACAAATTCGTGCTCTTCCTGACAGTATAACAATGGAACTATGGATTCACAGAAGATGCACACTGACCTGCAGAGTGACATGAGTGCCAACCAACTGCTGCATTGACTCCTGTGTACACAATATTAGCCAGGTGGTCATAATGTCATGGCTGATCACTGTATTTCATTTTAGAAATGTTAAGTTGGCACGCCACGTTAAAAGTCTTTCAGTTAAAGGCACTTACAAGCGTTTTTTCTTTATTTTATAGAACCCAGAAGCAGTTTGGCAACACTAACACTGCTGAAGCAGCTTCACAGAAAAACCGTCCTGCAGTGATGTCGTGCCTCCTTCCTGCTAAAGTCCCTGTTACTGCTGCATATCAGAGCACCATCACATCTACCATGTCACCATCTGAACCTCGCACACCTACTGTCAGCTCTCCTCAGGGAACCCAGAACCAAGATCTTCTTTTACCTCCTTCTGCTTTCATGACCACTGGAACCCAAGTTACAGTAAGAATCACATATTTGACTTGGACATGTATCAAAAAGCATTCAGGACTAAATTAAGAATTTGATTATATCATCTTTTTTTCCCAAGTTGGAGGCAACCAGCAGTTCAGGTCCCTTTAAACATCACTCATCAACCTATCCAGGTATGGTGCTGGCACTTTTCTTCCCAGTATGAGTTGGTTTTGTTATCCCTTTAAAATCAGTACTGTTGTGGATTATAAAGAAAATCATAAACACCACAGTCAAAGCAACTATTGTGATGCTTCTTCAAGAGACACGTCTGAGAGCATTCTGTGTAGAAACTGAGGTAGAAGATCCAACTTCGGCTCTAACTAGAGAACTGCTGAACATTCAGCTGGACATGAAAAGTTTCCAGCAGGACAGAAAGCAGCTTCGGTACGTCAGAGAGAACACACCAGGTTTTCCATTCCTTTTTGTGTGTGAACATGTTGTCAACATAGTTATTAATGTCTGATTGTGTGTGTCTGTTCAGGACATGGCAAAAACTGAAAGAGGTCTTACAAAGTTGGCTGCAGACCAGTGGAAATGAGGAACAAATGGAAAAGAATGACATTTGTCAAGAGCTGCAGGAGGTAAGAAGATACAGGTCATTTCGACATTGTCAGGTGTATTATCTGTTTTGTCAAATCATGTTTAAAACATTTTTCAGTTCTTGCTGGAAAACAATCAGTACTTAATCTGAATAAATAATTTGGTATTTAAAGGTAGGGTTGGCGATCCTGGAAAAACCAGCAAGAGGAAGCTCGATTTTGAAAGTAGACAACCGAAGAAATTCCATCCCTTTGTTTTGAGTCCTCTCCAAAGCCACTCCTCCAAAATGCTACGGCCACTGCAACGCACGCTGACTGAATTCTACTTACAAATTTCAGGAAAATAACAAATGGCCCCAAACGAAACCAAAGCGATAATTACCTGTCTAGCAGAAACACGGCCATCATGGCGTCACTTTTCAGCCCCTTTTGTTCTCTCAGTTGTTGCCATCATTCAAAAGCTACACTAGTGTTAATTCTGGTTTCACTTCTTGCAGCATCCAAAATTTTATTTGTTGTAACTTTCTCAAATACCATGTTACCTGCTGAGATCTGCAGCCCCAAACCGTAGTTGGGGATGTCTGGTTCATGGCTAAACTGCTTTAGCCCTGGCTCATAGCCGGTAACTAGCCTTAGAATCCTAGGCTTTTACATCGGGGAGTAGTTAAGAGGGAGGCCACTTAACGCCGTTCAAAACACAGGCTTTATTCTGCCTTGGTAACACGAACACTGCATGTACTCTTAGAGCTGACCACTGTTAGTCTACTGTACTGATTGTGAGGGAAATTCAGGTAATTGAGTTAACTGAGTTATGGAAACAGGGCACACAATGCCAAGTTACTTCAAGGCAACTTCCCAAATTTTGCATGCTTCCCTCTGCAGCCTCATTTGAACAGTAAATCTCTAAGAGGAAACTGTATGACGTCACAGTTGGTGTTTTTAATGTTGACAGTTGGAGGAGCGCATCAGCAGGCTGTCAACCAAACTGGCGAAACGGAAACCAACAATGCTACTGCATGCAGAGAGGATCCAACATTTACAGACTGTCCTCCACACGTCAGGAGTTATTCAAGAGATGGAAACACACCGCTCTGTGTTTACAGCATGACGGGAAACAGTGCAAGTGCTCACACGCTCCACAAGTGATTTCTGATTGCTTGGACTGTTATTCCTCTGACCCAATCACTGTTCTTAAAATACTATGGAGACTGACTGAGAATTGAATGAGAAAACTGTTAATATGTATTTTGTGATGAGCTTGTTTGTGCTTTAGTTTGACATACCTCTACTGCACTCAGCTTCTGAGGAAGAAATCGATACCTTAATGTCCAGGTAATGCTATTTGTCACTGTTAAATATCATGTATACAGTCTTAAAAGGGACTCAGCATGTCTAAAAATGTTAAAGCCAAGTAGCTTAAAGCAGCCCTCACCTCTACAGCTACACTTTAAATCTACAAAAAACATTTGATAGGGGTCGTCCTTGTGACAGATGGTGCTAAATATTTTCCATGTGTGTGCAAAAAGTGATTTTTACCATTTTCAGGGGAGCTGCCCTTGCGCAATAGGTTTTTTATTTTCCCGTTGATCAGTGCCTCTAATCCTTAGAAAGATCTATGCAGGAAAATTTGCTATTTCACACTAACAGAGAGGGACGCTGTCTGTTGTGCTTCACAGACTGTCTGACTCTTTGATCTACAACAGGGAAGAATGCGAGGACTTTATCCTATTTTGCTCTTTTTCTTCTTTGTCTGCTATGTCAGGGGTAAGTTGTTACTGAACTAGTTTGTTCTGTTATGCTCATAATTATCGTGCCACTGTTCCAGGGAGTTTCTCCATCTTGTTGCTCTTTGCTGCCAAAGCTGTTGCCCTCATTTTAGAGCTTTTTACTTTTCAGGACATTATTAAAACAGTTTTAACTTTATAAACATACATTTATTTCACAGTTTACTGATATTGATCATTGAATGCACAAAGAAATTGATTAAATACCTGCATCTTAAAACACAAATAATGCATGAAGCTGACCAGTTCAAATTCTGCACTAGATGCATGTTAGCCCTCTGACTGGCTTGTGTGGACTATTTGAATGATTCCTTACATGACAGCTAAGAAGACACGTTGGTGCGTGGTGTCAGACCCTGAACAGAAGAAGTGTGCAGAACTAGCTAAAGCTCTGGTGGCAGTGCTGCCTGCTGCTGCTGTGGCATCTTTTGCCAGACTTTCATGCATACAAGCGTCCAGCACGACTGACTGCATCGATAGGATCAGGGTGAGCCATCCTTTCACGTCATTGGTTTGGTGTAGGCCAAAAAGGTCACTGTAGCAAATAAGACATCCCAGGTTCGATTTACGTGTTTTAATATGTGTATTACAATAAAATAAAATTTTAAGTCAGAAAAGTGAATGTAGGTATAGAAAACAGATGTTGAAATGTTTTAAAAGCAATACTTAGTGTAGAACTATACATTTAAATTTCCTGCACATTTGATCCTGTTGAGAATCTCTTCATGCTGCCAGAGTTTTAGCAAACAAGGTTATATAAGAAAACATAAAAACTAGGAAGCCCATGTGATTTGAGACTGTTTCCATAAAGGCACCATAAAATTTAAGGTGCCTCCTTAAAATGTCAAATTAGGGATTATTAGCCTTTAAAAAATACAAAACTTTGCAAGACAGATGTTATTTCCCTTTAATGGAGAAGAGGAACATCTGGGATAAATTCAGTTTTTCTGTACCACAGCATTTTGGACTTTTTTTTCCAAAATATGCAATTTTGGTGATAAAATCATTTTTGTTCTTCTATCTAGGGTTTGAATTTGGAGCCTTTAGAGGAAAGTCCCATCTAATACCTTTCAGATTGTAAAGGTTATTTATGTCAGTGTTACAGCAAATTTAAATACAAATTCTGCAGAAGTGCTTTCTTGAGATCTTTGAAGGTGGATGACCTCTGATGGAACGCCACTATAGTGAGGTCTGCTTTGACTTATTATGTAAAAATTAGGACTCTCTCCTTGAATTCTTTGTTTCAGGGAAACCGTGCTGACATAGTGTCATTAGATGCAGGAGAACTTTATTCTGCTGTGAAGCAGTTCGGCCTGGTTACCATCGCCAAGGAGATATACAGGGACGGTAGGTTAATTTCAAATTCCTGAGACACTCCAGCACTAGTGGTTGAGTCAGTGTACCTGTCAGGGTGTGTCCATCTGTGTGCGCACTACAGGAGGTTGTGTTTTGTCGGTTGCCGTGGTGAGAAACAACAGCTTGGACATACGATCCCTGCAAGGACTCAGGAGCTGTCACAGCGGAGTGCGGTGGACAGCTGGATGGAATCTTCCACTCGGCTTCCTGTTGTCCCGAAACTACCTGAGCTGGTCAAAGGAGCAGCCGCTCAGTCAGGGTAATGAGATTCAGCCAGTGAGAACAGTAACAGTGAGGAAGTGTACTTTTTTTGTTTTCTTTTCTTTTCTCCCCTTGGTCAAGGTCAGTTTATCTGTAGAAACACCTTTCATACACAAGAAAATTTAAAGGGCTTTACATATTAAAAACAGACTCACACATCACATAAGGTAAAACCATAATATAAAATACAAAAGTTGAAAGACAAGTAGAAACAATAAAAAGGCTAAAGTAGATTTACCCAAATCATGAGAGAACAGCAGTGTTTAGCCTTAAATATGGCCGGATTAGTAACTTGTTTTAACTCCATGGGGAGTTTGTTCAGCTGTGTGCAGTGTAACAGCTGAAAGCAGCTTCTCCCTATTTAGTCCTTACCCGATTTTCAGTCAGCTGGTAATTTTAAGCAGATCTAAGGGCTCTGCTTGTTTGAAATGTTTTAAGGAGGTCAGAGATATATTTTGGTGCCATACCATTAAGACATTTATGAACTAAAATAAGTACTTCAAAATCTATTCAGTGGGAGACTGACTGCAGTGATTTCAGGACAGGGGTGATGTGTTCAGTTCTTTTAGTTCTAGTTAAAATTATAGCAGCATTATTCTGGTTAAGCTGCAGTTGTTTGATAGTTTTAGGAGGGAGACCAGTTGAAAGACAGCTGCAATAGTCCAGTGTGCAGGTGGTGAAAACATGAGTGAGTTTCTCTGCATCATCTCTGGACGTAAAACCTCTGAATCTCACAATGTTTTTAAGAAGATAGAAAGTAGTTCTTGTTAGGGCCTTAATATGACTATTAAAACTCAAATCTGAGTCATTAAAACACCCATGTTTCTCACCTAAGTTTTAACCTCAATAGTTGCAGCCTTTAGACGATTAATTACTTTAGTTCTCTCCTTCTTATTTCCAAATGACAATGACCTCAGTCTTATCCTTGTTTAATTGCATAAACTTGAACTTCATCCAGTTGCTTATTAGCTCCCAACATAAGAGAGTATAGTATCTAAGGGGGAGTAATCATTTGGAGTAAGTGCTAAATAAATCTGAATGTCACCTACATAACTGTGATAGGCAGTGTCATAGCCATGTAAGACTTGACCCAGTGGAAGCAAGTACAGATTAAATAGCAAAGGACCAAGGATAGATCCCTGAGGGATACCATATGACATGGTGATCCGTTCAGATGGATAGTCACCAAAAGCTCAAAATGTCTCTATTTTCCAGATATTATCTGAACCAACTGAATGCTGTGCCTGTTAATCTCACCCTTGATTGTTTTTCTCTTCTTGAGCAGATGTCAGTACCTTCTTCAATGCCAGCTGTGCTCCTGGAGCTTCTGCCATGGCACCTCCTCTGTGCACTCTATGCCAAGGCCTGAAGTCTTACGTTCGCCAGAAGAATTACCACTGCGAAACATCCCACAGTGAGCCCTTCTACAACAGCCAGGGAGCCCTCAGGTTTTAACAACCTATTAAACTCAGGAAAGTGTGTTTGCTATGTTTCAAACATGTGAAATTACACTGAAAATATTCATGAGTTTCTCCTGTTGCCTCTTTTGCACCATCTCAGATGTCTCAGGAGCGGGGCAGGGGATGTTGCATTTTTGGATCATTTGGCCCTTGAAAGTATTAAAGGTAAACAGTATCTTCTAATGGATCAACTTCTACACTATCATAGTATTAATTCATTGTGTTTCAGACCAGCCGGAGCAAAGACTTCCACCATATCCCTCTCTTCTAATTTCACGGTCAGCTCTCTACTATCTGTCTTTTTATTAAAGGCAGAAATTCTCACAAAATACAAAAAACAAAATAAGTAAAGAAAACAAACAAAAAACCTAGATCTAACTACACCAGCACACATGTAATTGTGGGGAAATTCTATAGTGGGTAGCTCAGCTGGTAAAAAAAAAACTGAAATATTTTTAAATATATGTAACTGTGTGTTTAGAAGAAAAAACCAAAATGATTGCAAATTAGTGTGAGGCTAATCTTTAGCACTATAATGTATTAATTGTCCCAATAAACTACTACCATAAGCTGAATACACAGACTACCACCAAAGTGAGTCAGTGTTGACGCTTTAACACCACCTACTGCAACTGAGGGGTCATGAAAAGTAGATCAAATCTAATAATTAAATTTTAGGATCAATAGGCATTTTACGGAAAGAAAATTTATAATATTCACTTTTATATAAACAACAGTATTTAAAGGTTTAAAATCAGTTCTAGAAAACACAACGGAAAATGTTGAAAACTACTGAACTACACAACATCCTGCTGCTTGTAAGACTCAGGACAAAACTGAAAAACTCTTTTTCGCAGGATTGTCACCATCTGCCTTTGGTGTTGTGTCTGTTCCCTTAGAGAATGATGAGTTCAGGTTGCTGTGTACTAATGGCACACAAGCTCCTCTCAGCCACTACAGAACCTGCAATCTGGGACGTGGTCCAGGAGGAGGAATGGTCACCAGATTCAACTTTCGCAAGGTTGCTCGCAAATTTCTAGTAACCGCACAGGTGCGGATTTTGCTGTCCTTTTTTTCCCCCCACAAATATCCCATGTTTTTTGTCCATGCTCCATGTCCATACTTTTCCTTTTAGCTCTTCTTTATTCTTTATGATTATTTAGATGCTGTTTGGCCATCGAGGGAGAGAGAGGCAGCGCTTCCAGCTCTTCAACTCATTGACTTTTGGGGAAAACGATCTCCTTTTCAGAGATGTGACAGATAAACTAGCTGTTCTTCCAGATGGCATAGACATCAGTCAGGTGCTGGGGCTGGATTATGTGGCTCTCCTCAAAGGTCTTGGACATGAAGGTGCTTATCTCCATTGATGTCTGGTTGTTATTTTTAATAAACAGACTGCGATTTTATGGCATGACCCAACCTGTATGTGTGCAGGAAGTTCATTAGAGGACAGTGTTGTGCGATGGTGCTGCATCAGCCATGCAGAGCAGAAGAAATGTGAGCAGTGGGCTCTCAGTATAAAGTCGGATCCGCTGGTGTGTGTGAGCGCGCTCTCAATGCGTGAGTGTGTCGAGAAGATTAAGGTAGGTCATGTAAAAAAAGGTAGAACATGAGGATGTTGCACTTGAATCCTACCAACCACAGTCTCAGCATCACTGATGTTCTTCACTCCAGAGGGATGAGGTGGACGCTGTCTCACTGGATGCAACTCACTCATTCATCGCAGGGAAATGTGGTCTTGCCCCTGTAGTTACAGAATATTATGGTAAGAACACTTTCTTCATTTAATGAAGTCTATCCTCAAAATAAATAGCAATAAATGGTAAATGGTGTGACCCAGGGAATCTGTCATAAATGTGGATTACAGATTGTATTGTCATTCTTGTTTTCCATTAGTGGTAATCAGATGGAGAAGTGAAATGCAGCAGAGCTGAGGTTTTCATGAACGCATTTACAACAGTGTAAACATACTCTGTTACTAATAAAAGTCCAAGTCATTCAAAATGTTACTCAAAAAAGTATTAGCATCAAAATATACTGAAAGTACCGACAAATACAATGACTCATTATACAGAATAGCACATTTCATTGTATATATTATATAATTGGATTATAATTATTGATGTATTATTGTGTACATCACATTTAATGTTACAGTTTATAATTTGAAGTAATGTTGTTTTGTTTGTTTTTGTCTCCCAGGGACAAAATGTGTACCTGCTGAAGGATCAACCCATTTAGAGACTGATGGTAAATTAAACAGAACAAAAACACGGTCAGCACATGACCAACTTGCAATAATCCTGGAAGCCGATGCGATTACTGTGTTGACATCAAAACCGCCGCTGTGTCTCCTCAGTGTTGCCCTCACTGGTGGGTGTGGCGGTGGCAAAGCGCACCAGCAGAAATGTATTCATCGGGAACCTCGGCGGGCGTCGCTCCTGTCACAGCCACATGTACAGCCCTGCAGGCTGGCTGCTGCCATACACACACTCGTTAAGCCTGGAGCATAACAGCAGCTCCCCCTGTGATCCAAATGAAGGTATTGTTTCTATTCACTCATAGAGAACCATGCGTAAACAGCTTTACTGAACCTATCCACCAGCAGTATATTCACATTTCTCCTTTTGTCCACCATACTGCCTGCAGCTTGTCTTATTGGCATTTTGAACTTAATCCACCACTGCACTAACCCTCACATGTAACTGCGGTGTGCCACTTTGTGTTTCTTAGTGTACAACCAGGTGTTTTGGAAAGGCTGCCTCCCTGGCTCTGAGGGGAACCTCTGTAAAGTGTGTATGGGAGGCACTGGGGAGGCTGCAAGCAAGCGCTGTGCTGAAAACCACAATGAGCGTTACTATGGCAACATGGGTGCTTTAAGGTGTGAGCAGTGGCTTACCTGAACCTGAGTTTTCTGTTCATCTGTAATAGTTCAACCAAGCTATGGAAGAGCATATTGTCTTTCTTACTTTTGGTGCTATCCAGACATTATGATAGCCTTGGTTTTATAGTGGTTGTCCAATAGGTAAAGTCACAGCAATGAAAACCATGTTTTTAAGCTTGAATCAACAGATTTTCTGCCCACCTAGGACCAGCTGCTAACACAACACTGACATACAGTATTATCACATTTAAGTTGATATGGTGAACTTCTTAGCAAGCAGATCCATCAGTTACATTATTATTCAGTCGTGCTTCTGGTTACCTGACAAATGTCAGATATTCACTCTTCTTTTAGCTCCTTTTTTTCTCTCCACTACCTCTTGAGAAAATTTGTTTTTATGTAATTTGGCTAAACTGACCTTTAACCTCTTACTCATTCATAGGTGTCTGATTGGAGATCCCAGTGGAAAAAGCTACGGAGATGTGGCCTTCCTTGAGCAGCACAACCTTCAGGCAAACATTCTCAGTGAGACATTACATGAACGCACACACACATTGATGCTAACATACATATGCTGTACGTACAGTATATAAAGTTTATTATGTTCTTGTCATGTTCCACTTAAGGTTTGAGCTCTGCTGGGTGGGCAAAAGGGTGGACTTCTTCTGATTTTGAGTTGCTGTGTGGCAATGGGCGTCGGGCCTCGTTGTCGGAGTGGGAGAGGTGTAATCTCGGAGTCGTCCCGCCGAACACCGTCGTGACACGGCCGGTGCTCACGGCACGAGTGTACGACTTCCTCATGAAGTCACAGGTAAGATGAATTCAACAGACTTTAAATTGGATTCTGTAGCTCAGCAGCACCTTTCAAATCTAGGCAGCCTGGATAAATTAGGTGCCTGAAGACGCATTTCTCTGGTTGGCCTCATTCAAAAGTCAAAATGGTGCTTGTCACTGCATGTAGCACAGGGTTATTTCAGGTCTCAGATTGAAAATTTATTTAGAGAAATATAAAAAATTTTCTACAAACCTGTTTTTCAAATGTTCAATGTTGTCTTAAAGCAATTAGCCATACAAGCTCTTTTGATAAACAGGCTATAAATGTGAAATGTATGGTTTCAGTCGGCCATTAAATCTTACAATAAGTACACATGAGCACAACTCTGAGAAGTTATTCAATGAGTCTTTGGCTTTTGGCCTTTTTTAATATCAGGGACACGTTTTTCAATTCATTTCAATTCAAATTTATTTGTATAGAGTCAAATCACAACAAAGGTCATCTCAGGACAGTTTACAAAGTAACGTAGAGACCTTACTATTATTATAAAGGAAAACCCAGCAAATCGACTTTGAGCAGGCACTTGGAGACAGCAGCGAGGAAAAACTCCCTTTAATGGAAGAAACCTCCGACAGACCCTGACTTTTGGTGGGGTCTGTCGGAGGTTTTTGCAGGTATCAAAAAATTATTGAGGTCCAGTAGCAACCAAAGTCACATTGCCAGCATCAACTATTCATAAAGATCCAGTTCTTTGCTTCTCCTGATGAATGTTTGCAGTAATTAGGAAAGACAATTAAATTATGCTGTTTGGCAGTGAAAGAATAGGACAGTTTTATTTTGCTTCCATGGTGTTGTTAAAACTGCTTTTCTTTTGTTAAAGGAAACGTTGGCAGCAAACCCAAACACAGAGTTCAAGCTCTTTGAGTCTCAGCAGTATGGAGAAAGTGATCTGCTGTTTAAAGATGCAACACAGTGTTTCGTCCACACAAGTCACATGGGCTACCGCTCTATCCTCGGAGAACAGTTTTACACTCATGCAGAAACTGTCTTCAACTGCACACACTCCGGTACAGCTACAATCAAGCACATCTGATTGTTATGCATGTCAAATATACACACATATATAAAAAGACTCTCACAATGATAACGCTAATGTATATCTTAATATTCTTTACAACAGATATCTTGGACTTTTGCAACCAGGACGTGTGCAGCATCTTCTAATGGACACACAGAAGCAAATGATGTTTTCTTGTGCTTCTCAGTGGTTCAAATGTTCATCCACATATTTGTTTCATCCATATCTGATGACTGCAAACCTTCACTGGCTTTTTTGTTCACATAAAATCTCTGTTATGCCTAACAGTTTGAGAGGACTTTCCAACAACTGCAACATTTTTCATCAGTCATTAGTTTTACTATCACTTTTACAGCATTCAAGTGCCATTATAACTCTGAATGGTGTATTATGTTCCAAAATAGATAGCCTCAACCCTGGAGGCCATTTTAATACAAATGCTTGATAGACCCCTCAGTTGTTGACAAAATGTTGATGCTTTTGTTGCAACATAAAAGGTCTACAACATCATTATTGATCACAGAAAAAAGAAACTTACAACTGCTAAGCACAGCTAGGACTCATGCGTTATACTTAGCTCCAAGCAAATGTCATCAACAGTATTTTTGCCTTATTGTGTTTTTTTCACATTATTACAAAAGCTTTAAAGTTATGTGATCTGCTGGAGTCCGTGAAAATGTGCTAGGTTACAAGATGTCTGTTCAGAATAATTGATGTATATAGTGTACTGTATGTAGGCTACCTGTATATTATGCTGTTGCCCTTATGTGTATGCAGTTTAGATAATCACATTTATAGCTAATTTAGGGCTATTGGATGAATAATTTAGAGAAAATTAAACTTATATTAAATGACAATATAAATACAGTAATAATTATCAGCGATGTGTACGATTTAATAATTTAGGGAAAAGTTTATTTTGGTATAATCTCATTCAAATGTATCCTTTTTTTAATATTCGACGTTACGGCTAACCTGAATCACAATCCTTTAACTACATTTCCCAGAATACAGCACGACTGTTTGTGGTGTTACATAAAACACCGTTTATCCTGTTCGACAATGGTTCCTACCTTATGTCTGGCTGTTGTGGTTTGTCTCATTATTTAGTCGACACTTTGTAGCTGTTGATACTTTGTTGTTCCGGGTATTAACGTAACATTGAACTATAGCTACCGCTGTAGCCTGCAAATAAGGTATAGTAGCTAACTAATGTATTTAAACAGCGTTATCTAACTGACATTGTAATTGTATCGCTGGCCAGATTTTAGTTTGTTAGCCTGCTTATCTCGTGTCGAAGTGTGTTCCCTCCTCAGTGGTTAAGTTTAGGACAGTATTTTGCTGTGTTTTTAATATATTCAAGCTTTGTTGGTATTAACGCTCATAAACACATTAATGTAAAGTTTGTGTTAGGCAGGTGTGGTTTGTAGCTAACGGGATATCTGCAGGTCTTGATTGAAATCTTAAATTTCAGTTCTTAAATCGTTTTTCTAGCCTAACTATAGACAGTAACGTTAAGTTATACCAGGTATTTGTAGGCGATTTCATCAAATTATGGCTCGAAAATCCCCGGTACTATTGTACGAGATCTCTTACCTTAAATTAATTAACGTTTTGTAATTGGTTAGTCCATTCATACTTCCGTTTTCTATTGATTATCCTGATCTAGCTCATATTTAATGATTATATTATTAAGACTGTTCCAGGAAATAATGAAAAATACAAATAACTGTAAATAAATGGAGACTTCATTCACGTTACACTTGCTAAATAACTGTCTTATATCATCCCTTCTGATTTTACATAATATGTATCCAGTTTGGCTGGTATGACTGTTATGACTGTGACAGGTGTTAAATGTTTTCAAAATGATGTGGTGAACCCAGTGCTTAACATCACCTTCACAGTAACTTGTTACCACTCCTCTGTGGGAGAACATTGAGCAGGTGATGTGTGATTTTGTGTATATCAGCACTGTGTTTATTCTGCTGTAGATGAGACTGCCATGGCAGAGCCTCACACTACACACAGCACCTGTAAGGAAGGCATCTTCAGTCCCTGTAAGTATGCTGAGCTTTGTTCCAGCCTGCAGCACCACTGATGCCCATTCACTGGAGCTGCTGCATGACTTTGTGTCCCGAGCCAGACGCCTGTTTGTTATTACCGGAGCAGGACTCTCCACAGAGTCAGGGATCCCTGATTACCGCTCAGAGGGTGTCGGGCTGTACTCCCGCACAGACAGACGACCCATGCAGCATGTCGAATTTGTCCAAAGTGCAAAGTCCCGTCAGCGGTACTGGGCTAGAAACTTTGTTGGGTGGCCGCTTTTCTCCTCCCGCCAGCCAAACTCTGCACACAAGGCCCTGCAGCAGTGGGAAGAGAAGGGGAAGCTGCACTGGCTGGTCACACAAAATGTGGATGCGCTTCACTCAAAGGCTGGACAGAAGAGATTGACTGAGCTCCATGGCTGTTCCCACAGGTGAGAAAACTTCATCAGTAGCAGTACTGCCAGATGAAAACACACTATCTCACAGCAGAAGTAGATTTTTCAGGTTTCTGTACTCTACTTGAGTAATTTTCTGACAACTTTTTACTTTTGCTACCTACATTTTAACAGAAATATCTGTACTTTCTACTCGGTGCACACCGCTGCACTGAGTGACGTGTTTGTTCATTACAAGCTCTCTGCTTTATTTATAGTCCACAAGCTCTTCAAGCTTTCAGAGATCTTGCATATGCACAGTTGAGTCATGGTCATTTGAAGATTTTGGGGCAACATGTTTAACAAATATAATGGCCTTGTGTTTTATGTTACTGCGGTGTATTTTAAATTGCTTTTGAACAAGGTCTGTGGCACAGATCAACTAGCTAATCCAGGTTGGAGACTGGAGACAATATCCATGAGTATAAACAGTTCATTGTTGGTTTTGGTCTCTGCACAGGGAGTGTTGAAAATATTGTTAATAAGAAAATGGCTGACCTTATCATTTAAGGCAGGGGTGGCCAATTCCAGTCCTCACTCCACTTCCATCTAAGATGGTATCTTCTAGCTTCTGACTGACTGAACACACCTGAGCCAGGTAATCGGCAGCAGGTCAGGCAGGGATAGTTGGAAAACAAGCAGGACAGCGGCCCTCGAGGACTGGACTTGGCCACCCCTGGTTTAAGGCTTTAATTAGACCTGAAACATGTTCTCGTTACTTCATATTAATTATTCTTAGTCAGCTATGATTTTTATTTTATTTGAAGTTAGAATAGTTTAGTAGTTTTGGAGATATATTAATATGATGTGAGGCTCAGTTAAGTTTGCACAGAAACAGCTGGTAGAGATGTCCTTCAAAGGGCTACCTCTTACTTTTATACTTTTTTTACTTTTACTCAAGTGAAGAGTTTGAATCGGCACGTCTACTTTTACTAGTCGTTTTTTTAACATGGGTATCTGTGCTTCTACTTGAGTAACAACTGTGTACCTTTGCTACCTCTATTATTGTATAAATTTCAACTGATGACTTAATGAGTAAGTAGCATTTTTTAATTGTAACTTTTTTTTTTATATCATGTTGGGTAGGTTCATATTATTTTATGAAGTGATTATGCCAGAAGTGTCAGATAAATGTAGGGGAGTGAACTGTGTAATATTTCTCTCTGCAATGTAGTAGAATTATAAAGAAGAGAGAAAAGTACGTTTTGTCATTTGAGTGAACTGACCCTTTAAGTCACCATTCACATGCCTATTGTTTATGTGTCCTCAGAGTGATGTGTCTAGGCTGTGGTGCCATTTCAATGAGGGAGGAGCTCCAGAGGCGATTCGTGGCACTAAACCCAGGGTGGAGAGCTCAGGCAGGCGCTGTGGCTCCGGATGGTGACGTCTTCTTGGAGGACAAGCAGGTCCTGCATTTCAGAGTTCCCTCCTGTGAGCACTGTGGAGGAATACTGAAGCCCGAGGTCACGTTTTTTGGAGACACTGTAAAGAAAGCAACGGTGCAGTTTGTGCATGACAGACTGGCAGAGTCAGACACGGTGCTAGTCGTGGGGTCATCGTTACAGGTAAAGCTATTAATGTATTTGTTTTTGAAACAGTTACTATCTCACGAAACAGTTTTCCTGATCTTTGCATTTATTTGTGTTCCTTTTGTTGTTCCCAAGGTGTACTCAGGATACAGGTTTGTGCTGGCAGCGAGTGACAGAAAGATGCCAGTTGCCATTCTGAACATTGGGCCCACGAGAGCAGACCACCTGGCTGAGCTGAAAGTGAATGGCCGCTGTGGTGAAGTGCTGTCGGTCATTCAGCCCCTCTGACTCTCATGGACCTGCAGTGTGGATATAATTTATTCTGATTTAACAACCAACTTCAGAATGATGAGCTGACATTATAGCACTTTTCTATATAACATAAAAGAAGCCAGAAGGATCTACACTTCTATGTCAGGAATAGTCGTTGCTGTTACAGAAGCGTGTCCGTCTTGTGCCACTTCTCTGCACACGGCAGATCTCGATTAGAGGATCAGTATATTGGGCCAACACAAAATAGACTTTTACCGTTCTGTCAGAGGCAACAGACTCGAGCCAGTACTGTATGGGGTTTTGGTGCAGCAGAATACTGTATATCCATAATGCAGCATGGGTCTCAAAGTCATGGACCGACAGCTGGCACCAGGGAGATGACGATGAGGAATGAGTGACACAGTTTGTCAGTCAGGCTCTTCTGCTTTTATTGAAATGAAATGCAAGAGCTATGAAAGAAAGTGTAGTGGAAAATCCACTTAATCTGTCTTCTTTGCAGTTCCTTATTAAATATACAAGGAGTCTGTGGAAACACAAGTTGCTGTTCCACAAAGGTACCATACAAAATCATGTAGTAGATAAGATTTAATAGACAGGTATCTAATGAAGCGCTTGAAACTAATTCAGCAAATTGTACAAAATTGAAAGGGTGTGATTTCTTCTGCCATCGAATGGATTATGCTGTTTTATATAATTTAGTGCTGAGATTGAGGAATACTAGCATAGTTAATGTATCTTTTGTCAGTTTGAGACAAAGACTTGACTACAGTTTGTTTGGCAAACTGAGAAGCAGGAGATCTTTTACCAAAATCTGACACAGATGTTCATGTTTGAAATGTCATGGCACCTGTTTAAATAAATTATTTTAAAGCTTTACAGCACTTTACATTTACACATCAGGTATCATATTCTGTCATTTGTCTGCAATGCAGTGAAAAACTTATGTGAAAGGAGTGAAAACTGTGGTCGTGAGGACAAGTTAGAATTGTTTAGACACATTCAACAGCCTCCTCACTCTAGGTGTTATTTCACCAATATAGTTGCTGAATGTTTCTCTTCATAGAGACCAATGTACCGTGTTTCTCATTTTCAACCATTTTAACAAAGATTCAAACAAAATGGAACCTTTTGAAAAGGATGAATGAAATGTAAAAGTTTAATCTACAGTGATCAGCCTCTTCTTCAATGAGCCTTGGGCGTCCATGACCCTGTCGCTGGTTCACCGTTTGTCTTTCCTTAGACACTGTTGGTAGGTACTAACCACAGCAGAACAGGAACACCCAAAAACAACCGTCAGTGGTCATAATGTTATGGCTGATTGGTGTATATTGTCTTCGTTTAAGGTTTCAATTGATTTGGCAAATATTCTTACAGTTGAAAAGTTTTCAGTCACTTCATTTTCAGTTACAGTACAGTCATTCATGCTGTGGGTGTGTCGTGTTGACCAGCGGTGGTGCTGTTGATCCAGGATTTGAATACCACTGCTATTTTGACAAAGTTTGGTGGGAGTGAGTAAAGGAAGCCAAATTATTCCACAGTGGTTTATTGTAAAGACAAACTGTCAGCATCACAAACAGACTGAGGGCAGAGTGGCTATGGTTTGACAAACAGTGAGATCCTGCAGGACATTTTGCTGCTGAAATCTTTCTTGTAAACGACTCCTCCAGGACTCCAGGTTGGGCTGCGTCTCTTCATGTAGAACTGCTGGGATGCTGAATGAGTACAGACAACATCTGTGACATGCAGTGTCTGCCTGCCATGTTGCTGCAGCTGTAGTCACCATCAGGGGAGTCATAGACAGACAGTTTTCAAAACTCTTGGTCTGATCAAACCAGTAGGTGACGGGGTAACCCAATAAAAGACCAAAGAGTGTGCAAAGGTTCCATTCTTCACACTCCTCTCCAAGATAAAGGGGTTTCTCAGCCTCCCTCACTTCTTCAAATCCTCTTAGAAGAAGCAGTAAATGTTGTGTCATGTTTTTCAGCTCTGCTGTGAGAGGGTTAGTGATTGTGGGCTTCTCCAGGGAGTAGCAGACATCAATCACAGCCACATGACTATCACAAAGCACCTGTTCTAGATTTGATATTACTGTAACTGGATTAACAATAAGGGTGTTTCCATTCAAATCCAATGTGAGAAGTGATTTAGACACAAGCTGAGAAGACTGCAGCAAACTCAAATACTGCTGCACCTGCTCTACACGAGCGCCATTACTGTCATACAGAAGAGCAGGTTTCAGCCCCAAATCAACAGCCAAGACCTGAGCAGCCAGGTCCAGACTGTGAAGACCAGAAAGAGATTTTCTACCAATACACAGACATTTACGAGCTGCAGCAACAAAGAGCTCCTGAGTGGACATAGCTGCAGAAATCGCACGATTTAAATAGATAAAGGTACCACAATGAAAGAACTCAGCGACCAAATGTTTTGAGGATTTGAAAATTACATTAAGATTATTACAAAATTAATGGGTCAAAGACAAAAACAGAAACAGTGATTGACTAATTATTTTTCCATGCACATGAAAAATCTACAGAAACATGAAGCTAATTCAGGTAAGCAAGATGTTTTTAAACATAACTAGTCGTATAGATATTTCATGAAGATTCGTACGTCCCTTGTTTCTTCATTGTTGGTCCAAGACACCTACAGGAATAGCAACATCAGGTCAGCAACCCTCAGCATGATCATGGTAAACTTTGTGTTAACTGAGCACAGGCATGTCCTCTTACCATCATCCTGGTTTTGGTTTTGCTGTGTCTTGACCGGGTTATGTCACAGGCTGAGGAGACAAATCAAAATCTGAGAGATTTCTTGCGACCCAAACGCCGGCCGCAAACAAACCTAAGTTCACCAGAAGATTCCTGAAAAACAGAAAAAGACTTTGCTATAAAGTCACTCCTGCCAGATGAACTTCCTGCAGTCACACAGTATACAGTTTGAATAAGGTTGCAGTTATTTTTTTAAATGAAATAAGACCAAGAAGGTCTACATTTTTTGACAGAGACCTCTTCAAGAAAAGGGACGCAAGATCAGAAAAATTAACAAGGTCATGTCAGGATCTCCTGATTGGCTTTGAGCCAGTGTCTCACTTTGTTTAATGATAATGAAGCCTTGGCAATGACCCCTGAGGCGACACAAATTTTCAATGGAAAAGTAAACCTTAACTCTTTTCAGAGTCAGTCCAACAGTTTTGCAAGCAAATGGTCAAACGTTTACTAGTTACAGCCTCTTGAGGATTTTCTGCTGTCCTGGTTTACATCACTGAAATAAGGAATATTTGTGTTGAAGTAACACTTGTGATGAGGATATTTTTTCCACTATTTTTCACATTTAATAGCCTAGTGATTAATAAAAAAATAACGCAGAATAACTAACCATGAAAATGACAGTTGGCTGCAGCATAATTAATTTTCTCACTTAATCATTTACTTAAATATAAGAAAATGGTGGGGAAAATGTCGTTTTTAATAGCCGGATCTCAAGGTGACATCTTCGAATGTTTGGTTTTATCCACCAAATGACTCATTATTGAAAGATGTTTAGTTTACCATATTTTAAAGCAGAAAAGTAGGAATCCCCATATTAACGGCAGAGAAGCTGGAACCAGAGAATCTTTACTTACTTTACCTAATTACTGATTATCAGAACAGTTAAGCACCAACTTTGTGTTGACTAACCTAGAAATCAGTTGGACTACACAAGGAAAGGACACATTACAGGACACGTTAGCTACACGGCTAACAGCCACACGGTTCACTAGTACATTATTTCATCTAGAGAAGCTTGCCTTCTGAAGTCGTTTCTGTCTGTTGCAAACCGACAAGCTGAACTAATCCAGTTCATCACACCGGAGGAAGATCCCTTTTTCCCGTTTGATCCTTTCATCTCAGTAACGTGCGGTGCAATATCAGCAGCAGCAACGAGGGGAAACAAACCGGGGAAGGAAGCGTTTAGATGTGACACAAGTACGGTGCACGATAAAGCTCAAATGTCCAACGAACGTCTTGCTCAACGCGATATACAGTATATTTTTAAACACAGCTAAAGATGTCTGCGACCAGGTACCGTCAGTTCTTAAAGTTGTGTGAACAGTGGCCTCGGGATGAGACCAAGAAAGGCCGTGATCTGGGGATGTTTCTGCGGCAGAGAGTAGCTTCTGCCTTCCGTGAGGGTGAAAACACACAGGTAATAGAAGAATTGACAGAACTTGACTGTCAACACATTGTGACATAACACGCCGAGCTAAGCTAAGGGGATGGGTAACTGAGGAGCACAGTCCGATGCTAACAGCCGTCGACCTTGTTAACTGAGACCTGTGAAGCCTCTTTAATGTGTATAGTTATGTACCGAATGGGACATGTAAGCTAACACCAATAGTAAACAGTAGGCCTAAATGTCATTGGAAATTAATCTAGTATCACAAATTATAAGCAACACAAATTCAACAAAAAATATACTGCACTGCAATTTCTTGTTATTTACCAACTATCACTAGTTGATGTGATATTTGCTGATATTGTCACCCGGCCAATGTTTCAGCTGTTCAGCTATCAGTTACCAGTTACTTTAAAGATACACATTTTCATTCAAAAGGTACATTGAACATGAATATGAAATGTTTATACATTTTTTACATATTTTCTAGTTGACATCTGTCCAGTTCTCTACATTTTAAACAATGAGCCTTAAACTTTTCCCTCCAGATCTCAGACCCAGAGAAGTGTGACCAGATGTATGAAAGTTTGGCCCGCATTAACAGCAACATATACCGACAGCGAGTGAGCATGAATTGACATATCTCATGTGCATTTTAATGATTGTTTTTCTTGAAAACAAAATAAAGGAAAGAAATTAGTTGATCTTTCTTTTTCCATTAAATGCAACAGATGAAAGAGAAGTCCCTCAGTGGGATACACTTTGCTCCAGACCCTGGCTGTCTTTAACATGTATTCTGTTTCAGATCATAAAGGAAACCTTGTGTTTAGCCTTCATTCAGTGATGAGGATAATAAACATTCTGAGCTGGTACAAAGCTTAGTTTTAGTTTTGTGCTAGAAAAGTACAGTAGATTCATGATTATCAACAGAAAGATTCTTCACACTGAGTTTAAACTATAAAGACAACACATATTTATATTGGACATAAACATGAGCTGGCAGAGGGTTTGTCTCTCTCTCTCCTGGATGACTTGTGATTTGGCTGCCAATAATGTCTGTCTAATGCCAAAGTTCTTAGTGTTCGCTTTGTATCCCAGTGTGAATCAACATGGGAAACCTACAGAAAATGGAAAAAGTGGCTCCTCCAAATAGTGTATTTGCTCCAATATTTAAGGGTAGCATACATGTACAAGAATAATATTGAAACATGCTTATTATCTAATGAGAAATTCAGTAAAGTGTATTAAAATACTTTCAATACAAACATCTTTATGTTTATTTAGTTTCCTCGAGTAAGAGACACAAGCTTTACCGGCGTGACGGTGGAGGAATGTCGCCTGATTCTGTCAGGTATGGACCCACAATATCACATGTATGTCACTAGTATAAAACATGTCTTTCTTATTGTTCGCCGTATTTTCACTTTACAGGGAAAATGGATGAGGAAAAAAAGGGTTTGTGGAAGACATTAATGAACAGATTCTCGAAATCACCAGAAGATGTTCCGGAGAAAGCTTGTGAAAAATAACTCCCTCTTTTCTCATTGCATGTGTAGAAATAAAGCTTATTATTAGGATCTTTATGGACTGTTATGTTATTCTTATGGAGTACTAGAAAAGATTTTACTGTTTCTACTCTGCAGATGTTGATCGTTTAGGTTCTAGTTTTGGAGGTGACAGCGGTACGACAGACAAAAAAGTAGAGCAAGGGTAAAAGAGTTCTCTCCTCAAACATATTCAGCTATAAAAACTTAAAACTCTTTTACTGTGATATTGTGTTTGTCCTCACCGGGAACATTTTGATTTTGTGTCGGTTTTTTAGGATATCTCAAAAACATGCTAATAGATTTTGTGTGTGTGGTTTGCCTACATGTCACTCCTGTAACAGACCGGTGACCTCTCCAGGGTGTACTCGGCCTCTCACCCAATGTCAGATGGGATTAGCTCCAGCCCCCAACGACCTTCGTTAGGATAAGCAGTATAGATCATGGATGGATGGATTTCTGAACATTAAGAAGCGAGATGCTCTCAAATGTCTGTGCCATTTTTCATAAAGTACAGAATTTACTCATGAAAAAATCTGGACTAATTGTCCTATAGTTGCCACTGTTAATTTTAATGCAGATCCAGGTATATTTTAAAATGTGTGCACATTTTATTAGAATATACTTGAGTCATGCAGCCAGTAGTCTGAGCTGCAGTGTGTTTCTTTACAACATTTTTAGGGCAGATGGTAAAAATGTCTATTTTCCTGAGAGACTGCAAATGTGCCAAAACTTAGAACATGCACAATGTGTCATATTTTTACTAAACTTTTTTTCTCCTAAAATAAAGCAAGCCTATGGTCTTACGTCAAAAATAACCCTAAGGAAACTTCTTCATGAGTCACCCATGTGCTGTGGGAATGATACACATATATGCTAAACTGAACAGCAATCTTTAAAAGTGTTAGCATAAAAAAACCAAAAATAACTCTCCATTAAAATGCACACATGGAACATTCTTTATTAAAACAATTGCTTTACACTTACTGCAAGCTAAAAAAAACTTTTTTAAAACCCACACAACTTCAATTTAAACGCATAGCCTGCTAGATTTCAGTTTTTGATATAGACTGACAAATGCTTCTGGGAGCTTTGAATGGATGCACTTTAAAAAAAAA